TACAATGATTATTCGATGACAATGATTATTTACAACGAATATTAAAAGCTGATGACTATGATTACTTAAATAGAATATGCATGTCATTCGATGACAGCGATTATTTCCAAAGAATCTTCGATCACGTCACTATTGTATATCGCTATACCCGTGGGGTTGGGGCCGGTTGTGAATTGTACTACGGCCCTGTAATTAAGCGTTTTAAATGACGTCAAATAGTCACTGATCCAGATATTTTTCTAGTAACTGCCGCGTATTGTGATCAAAACCGTTATTTAAATCTTCTAAATAAAATTTGGGATAATTCCTTTTACATCAGAGAATAAAGCAATTTGTAACACGAATTTCAACAAAACTACATGCATCGAATAACAAGAATTATATAAACGGAAGTATCAGTACAACAAATCGCTCTTTGCAGCTCCGCTTTAGTCCGACACTTGTTTTTCAGCTATCGTATCTACCCATTTGAAGATACCATGTGAAGAATACTTTTTTTAAGTGTGTAAATTAATTACATGTATGTTATGTATATATATGGAGATATTTTTTGAATTAAGAAAGCACCAACTTCTTTTAACGAAAACAACCGAGACATTACCTCCAGTCCAATTTAATTTTTCATCTAAATCATTTCTTAATTACAAAAGTTAATATTAATTTTCTTTGCAAAGGAGACTAGGTGTTGCTGGAAACAAATGAAATACCAAACATCATAAATTTATTGAAGTCAACAGCAGAAAACTGTTAAACAATTAATAGATCACTTCAATGAAATGTAATTGCATTTAAACGTATTAAATTGTTTTCAGCAGATGTAATAATCAGGAACATAGGAAGATCCGAAGAGATATTGTGCGTTTAAATACTTTTTTTGTTTTCGCTAATTTTTTTATACATTTCAGTTAACGTGTAAATCTGTGTTTTGAACGCATGGCCCGTTAAGTGAAGAAGTCTGTAGGAAGGCAATTTTTAATCCTGTGCGGAAATTGTCCAAATGAATGATCAGTCATCGACTCAGCATACGCAGCCATCAGGTTGAGATCCCAAACATTGATTAATTGCGCTCGACTGGAAATTTGATCAGCATGGTCAACGGAAGCCACCGTTTAAAAAATTTTCTTGTTCTTAAATATATGCTTATTCACTTTTGTAATATTACTAGATACTTATAATCACGGTTCCTTCACTTTCAATAATATATTTCATAAATTGTTGAAGTGCAGACACATACTTCATATTGTAGAAAAACGTTTCTCTGGAATTTTTGATGCAAATCCTGGTTATCTTTTCTAAGAAGGGAAAGTAAGAAAGTGTGCCATTTATAAAGCTTAAGTTTTGCTAGATTTGCAGGTTTTTCGCGCTCGCATTTTACGTGCTTCTTAAGAATCTCTGGTAATAAAATGGGAACTTTCCATGACTTGTTGCCAATCTAATTGGAGAAAAAAATTTATTCTTTATAGGGATACTTGCGGGTGGTAACCGTCGAGCAATCTTCTTGTATCTGTCTCGTCCCATCCTGTTTGTTATTTTATTAAAACGTGTTTGGAAAATTTTTTCCTGATTGCATGGTTTGATTTGAGATGATAGATGTCAATCAGACCTTTTAATATGGCATCCTGAGCTGTTGGTGCCAGCAGCTTCATTTCCTATTATACCTGTATATTCTCATAATGGAATTTAGGCTAATAAGAGGAATATTCATTTCCATATTTATTGTTTTTAAAAAGATTTTGAATAAGTAAAGATATTTTCTTCGTGGAACATTGAGCGTTTAAAAATCTTTGACAATCTGTAAAAATGCTCGCAAACTGTAACTTACTACTTTTGACAAAAAACGTATAAGTAATCATTTATTAAATTAATGAATTCAAACATATGAACATATATATTTAATAAAATAAAAATATTTCAGCGCAAATAATTATCGACGTATATTTGAAGAAGAAGAAAGAAGCACCGATCAACTACTAGAAGAATTGGATCCCCAATGTTTAAGATTGCAATACGTGTCGGAAACGTAAGTCTTTTCGGAAAAAATAATAAAAACAAAAACATAATGTTTCAGGTCCAGTTTAATTATACCTTTAATAATTTTTTGACAAAAACGCTGGTCTGGAAAATAATACGTTTTCAGATTTATAATGCTTAATGTTTTTTTTTCATTCCTTCATTACAAAAATATATTATAAATGTTTAAGATGGAAAATCCTATTGTGAAGAATTCAAATTTATTGTCATACCTTTTGATTATGAGGAAACGTTATTGCATTAACTAATGAAATATCTAAACAGAAAGCTAATATACAAAATACACGTGTTTTAAACGGCCAGTTTGTAAAATTTGTGAATGAGAAGTTGTTTAAATTGAATGTCAAATAGTTGATATAATTAGAGTAACAAAGACAAAAAGGACTTTATGTTTATAAATAATATATATATATATATGTATTAAAACAAATTAAGTAAACACTGAAATCCATCCTATACTCTATTCGGAACAAATCTAATATAAATTGTTCTCTTCATCTGTTTCTGTTAGACTATATATTTCTAGATTTACAGAGATTTAGAATATTATTTAGCTCGAGTTTTGAGAATGTACTCATCAAACATAATAAAAATTTCCAGATTCCAACTTTTCATTGTAATTATTTTTTTAATATATAATATTAAATAATTTTGAATTAATAGAAAATTAAAAAAATAAAATTAATTAATTAAAATATATTTATGTAGATATATATATCCCCATCACATGATTTACATAAAGATGATGACCTAGCTAAGTGGGAATTTAAAATTTCCTGAATCAAATATTTCTCTTACTAAAACCACAAATTGTCGAACTATGCACATTTTTTCTATCTCTGTCACCGCTGACACGACGTCGTGCTACTTTCTTCCTATTCCAACAATATGAGAAATATAAATATTCTAGAAATAGGTAGGTTTAGAATTTCAAATGAATTGGAGCCGCAAATATGAATTGAAATAAATCTGAATATTTTATCTTATTCATCTGCCAAATTTGCTCTGTATTATAGATCAATAGGCAATTCTATATAGCCGCCAATTTCTTTCCTGGCGCTATAGTGACGAGAGACAACACAAGAAAAATAGGGTACGAACAGTGTAAAGATATTTCTTTATTATTCTTAGCGCAGCGAAAACTAAGAAATAAGAACAAAAACATTGGATTGTCATCAAAGAAAGTATTCGAAAGTTCCTTAGGAAAGTATCCTAAACATGGGTTTGGTAGGGGTAGTCCAGTGCATTGTTCAGCAAGATCACGAGACCTCACTTGCATTATCACTTCCGCTCGGGGTAATTCAACACATTCGTGCACGAAACCCCTGTTAGAAGTCCAACAGGAACTTGTGGCACATATCGTGGCAGCTGCTGGGAAAGTCCTGAGGATGCACAGTATTTTCCAGAACATCTTATGGTCGATGTGCGAGAGATGTGATACCTGCATCAGGGTGCAGGTCGTAATTTCGAACACCTTCTTTGAGGTCCATAAGTGTCTAATTTTGTTCCTATTTTTTAATTTCTCTTGTGCTAAGCATAATTGGTGTCCGTTCTTTCTTGTGTTTTGTGTTGTTTGTACCGGCCAGGAAAGTTGTTTCGGCCCTGTTTTGCCATTTCATTTTTCCTCGATGTCGTCTCTCTCATATATGTGCATAATTACTTATGACTCAAGTGTCGCTACTATATGATGAAATTTACAAACACGGTGTTTACAATGCTACATATTCCCATCCGAAAATATCTTTTTTTTTCCTCTTGCCCTTCAAATAAGAAATGTGTGTCCTTCATTGTAAAATCTCCTGGAACTTTAATACTTCTTTTTTCGAGGACAATGGAGAAAATATTTCAGTATAGGCAGCTGTCAATATTCAAACATTACATTGTGAAAGCCATTAAAGTGATTTCGGCCATTAGCCGAAACGCTCAGAAAGGCTTAATTCGCATAAGGATTTAGGAAATACATTTTGAAAAACTTAGCAAATTTTCCTTCAATAAATTTAATGGAACAGGCAAAAGAAATTACAGGGAACAATAAATATAGGAGAAAACAGATATTTCTTTTCCTAATTTGTTTTACTGTGTTTGATTTCTTTCTTTCTTCCTGTATAAATAATTAAAACTTAAAGAATGTAACTGAAGAATGAGAATAAAATTTTCAATTGAAAACAAATGGTGGCAAAACTCCTAGTGCTGCTCTGCTGGACGACGAAATAGACCAGCAATATTTTCCGAATTTGGAATAACAAGAGAAAATTTGAAACCTGTGCAGCCAGCGATGCAAAGGGATTCTTCTGAGAGAAAGATGACTTAAATGAGGAAACTCGGAGATAATGTAATGATGTGTAAGGTTACCTCTACTGGGATAATAATAAGAAAAGGTTAAAATACAAAATACGTAAGTAAATTATACAAAAATTGAAGAAATTTAAAATATCTAGCAAGCGTAAGAAATAGTAATTGATTCAAAACCTAAATGAATCTAAAGCTCTCAAACTTATACTCGTTTAAATACAGGTTTTTCTGATTCAGAAAGAACGTTACGTGTATATCTTCTAAGATGCTTTTTCCATCCTTTTTTTTTTTTTGTAGTTGTTTCATTTTTGATTTCAGTTTCCTTTTTTTCTCCTATTTTGCAATTTTCCCCATTGTTTCCCTCTGTTTTTAAGCCACCTGTTTATTATTACTATTATTATTATTACAACTTATGTAAAAATTAAGTAAGGAAAAGTAAGGCACTGAAACTTTGCAAATTATCACACTCTACGTGACAAATTATCACACTCTACGTGAGATTCATGGTGGTCGCTTATTGCATACAAATCACGCCAAATTCTTTAACTTCTCTGCTTGGCTTTAGGTCCTTATAACGAAAACAACCAATTCGCCCTTTGTAGAAAAATATTCTGTCAGGCAATAAATCTACGGGGAGATTTTTCCCTATGAAACTGAGCCCAAAGTGTTATATAGTATCTAAATATTAAAGTGTTGTACATGTTAAACGTGATCGTCGTTGCATTACTTTCACTTTTTTACTACTGAAATAAAGATATACTGATTATTTTGTAGATTGGAAAACCCTCCTTGTGATCATGAAAAGGAGCAAAAACTGGAAACCGAGAGAGAACTAGAAAAGAAGCGAGAACCGGAAAAGATGCAAGAACTGGAAAAGAAACAAGAACTGAATAAAAAGGAAGAAGAACAAAGGAAAAGAAGGAGAAACTGGAAAAAAGAAGCAAGAAACTGAAAAACAAGAAAAAACTGGAATTGACACAAAAAACTAGAAAAGAAGCAAGAAATGAAAAAGAAGCAAAAGCTGGAAAAGATACAAAAACTAGAAAAGAAGCAAGAACCGAAAAAAAAGAACAAGAACTGGAAAAGAACAAGAACTGGAAAAGAACAAGAACTGGAAAAGAAGCAAGAACTGAAAAGGAAGCAAAAAACTGGAAAAGAACAAAAACTAGAAAAGAAGCAAGAACTGAAAAAGAAACAAGAAAAAAGAACAAAAACTGGAAAAAAGAAGAACTGAAAAGGAACAAGAAGAAGGAAAAGAAGCAAAAACTGAAAAGAAGCAAGAACTGAAAATGAAAAAGCAGAAAAAGAAGCAAAAACTGGAAAAAAAGGAAGAACTGAAAAACAAACAAAAACTGGAGAAGCAACAGAAACTAGAAAAGAAGCAAGAACTGAAAAAGAAGCAAACACTGGAATGGATTCAAAAACTAGAAAAGAAAGAAGAACTGAAAATAGAGAAACAACTGGAAGAGATACAAAAACAAGTGAACAAAGAAGAACTGAAAAGGCAGAAGAAACTGGAAAAAATGCAAAAACTAAAAAACAAAGAAGAACTGAAAAAGAAGAAGAAACTGGAAAAAATGCAAAAAATGGAAAAGAAGCAAGAGCCGGAAAAGATGCCAGAACTGGAAAGATAGATGAGTCAGAAAAGACGCAATACCTGGAAAAGAAGCAAAAAACGGAAAATAATCCAAATCTGCAAAACCAGCAGGAACCGGAAAAGAACTGTCAAACCCGAAAAGGAAACCGGATGAACTGCGAAAAGAGCCAGAACTGGATAACGACTGTAGAACGATTGATTTAATGACCAAACGAAGCAAGACCCGAAAAAGAAAAATAGAACAAATAAATCATATACCACTGCAAATAATACCACTGCAAGCATTAAATATCAACGTCAAAAGAATAAACACCTTTCTTCAAGGAAGCTTTGCAATACACTGTCATAAGCCAGAAGGTATAGAAAAAATCAGCTATAACCTCATTGCCAAAACAGTTGCAAAAGATATAGTTAACGTAAAACTTCCGGAAGCCACAATACCAAAATGCACAATTCATAATACTCCAAAAAATTTCAACTCTGATGAACTGATTCAAATTATAGCCCAAGAAACATAATCAAATATTTCCCACCTAAGGCCTTTATTTAAACTGAATTATCAAAATAATATCGATAAATGGATCATAAAATGTCACGGTGAAACTTTCCAAAATTTTATGAGTAAAAAACAAATATATATTGGATGGCGCACCAATAAAATAACCGAGTTTATCGGTGTACGCAGATGTCAAGTCTGTCAGGATTTCTCTCATAAGACAAACCAACCAAAATGCTCATTCTACGGCGGAAAATATGTTTCTTACTGTTATTCCCAAACTCCGTACTGCATAATCTGTTGGATTAACAATAAAAAGTATGAAACAAAATTTGACTGTAAACATCCAGCTTTAGCTATTTCCTGGTCCACATATCAAACAGAAGTTAGACGAGTAAAATCCAATACATATTATCAACAATAATGCAAGATCCTGCAGACTATCTATAGACACTTTCCATCAATAAAAAGAATAACAATGGCATCCGCTTTCTCAAAATAAATCTTCAAAGAGCAAAGACCGCCACCGACCAACTATGTCAGTATCAAGTAGATTATCTGGCAGATTTTATTATAAATCAAGAACATTATTGCATCACTGGCAAATTAGGAAGAAGTCCAAATAACTGGGCAATTATTCAACGTCATGCTTCAACGGGTGTTTTATCTCCTCGTACAGCCATATTCATTCCAAACAATAAATGGAATTCTACAATAATTATTAATACTCGAGATATAATCACAATTTCAATCAATACTAATGCATCTCAGCTTCTTATTACTAGTATCTATATATCTCCGTCAAAAATCCAAATCAAACCTTATCCATACTAAATGAAATCTTACAACAATAATAATAGTCCGCATGTTTTTTGTGGAGACTTTAACTCGCAAAGTACTTAATGAGGATACTTACAAACCGATCACAGAGGAAGAATACTTGAAGAATTTTTAAATGCAAACAATCTCATTCTACATAATCATTTTACTGACCGACCTACCTTTGATAATACCTACAATAATTATTGGACTGATCTTCTTATTTCTACAACACATCTTGATAATAAAATTAACAACAGATCAATACTAGATGAACATACCGAATCTTATAACAAATATATCTCTTTTGATATAACTGAATATACGTCCTTTACTGCACTTACCAGATTTAAAATCAATAATAACAAAAAAAAAAAAAAAGAAATTTCAACAAAAGTTCAATCCAATTTCAAATGACTTTCTAAATGCTATTATTCTGTGTACAACCAAAACAGAACTTAATAATATTACCAAGGAACTTATCAGAAAGTTTCAAGATACCTACGAACGTACCTTCTTCAAAAGATCATCAATACCCATTATAAAAATCAACTGGTGACGAAAGAACTCCGCTAAGTCAAACACAAAACACGAGCATTACGAAGAAAACTGAAATCATCGCAAACTAATGAAGAACGACTCAACCTACTTCAAAAATACAAAAAACGAAAAGCCCCATATAAAAAGCAAATAATGTCTGCAAAGCTTTAAGCATGGTGCAACTATTGTTCAAACAACCAGTATACGTATGGCTCATTGTACAAAATTGAAACCAACAAAATCTTCCACCCAACGCAACTTACAGTCACTAATAGGGGAAATAATGATAAAAATGTTACGAAGATCACTTTAGAAAACATTCTAGATGTTATTCTACCAAAAGAAAACATATATGATGATTTAACTGAACAAAGATTAATTCGTTGTAATCTACTTCCAAGAAAATGATAACACATTTACAGCCATGGAACTCAATCTATTTATTAAAAAACTCAATAACGAAAATGCTCCTGGACCAGATAGAATCTGCTATCAAATTATACATAAAAGTAATCCTAAGCTAATTCTAATCTGCAATAAATGTCTCGAACTTGGTATTTTTCAAGACTGCTATAAAACAAGACAAAACATACTCTTCCTCAAAAAGAACAAAGCTCATGAAAATCCTAATTCCTATCGGCCAATTAACCTTCTACCATCCCTTGGAGAAAATCTGAAAGTTGTATTATAGGAAGACTTGAATACCATTTTCACCATCATAAATTCATTAATGAAAATCAGTGTGGATTTAGGCAGCAAAAATCTACCATTCATGCAACCAGTGCAGTCCTAAACCAAATCCATGTTAATAAAATCAATAACCTACACTCCGCAATAATCAGCTTAGGTCTCAAATCAGCCTTTGATTCATTATGGCGGCCCTCAATTAAAGAAGCACTTAGAAATATTGAATGTACTTATAATATCTATTAAATTATCAATAATTTCCTTGATAATCGGCATAGTCTCATTTTATATAATAATTCTTTAATCAGAAGAAAACAAGTTCGTGGATGTTCACAAGGCGCATGTATAAGCGCAGAATTATGGAATATTACATTTAATAAAATTATAAAAAGTGCTTGGCTTCCTTTTGCTAAAATTACTGCTTTCGCCGATGATGTCGCATTTGTTATGAGTGGAAGGTCCCATTTAATCCTTCGAAGAAATTGTCAAGAAATAATAGCCATATTCCAGCAAGAATGCAAGAAAATTAAACTTGAAATTTCATCCTCCAAATCTAGAATCATGACAAATAATAAACCTGGACAAAATCTTACTAAGCAACTTTCTGTTAAAATAAATGGCGAAAAAAATCAAGCATACTAAATTCTTTTCTATTACTTTTAGATCTTCCCGTTGCTTCAAAAACTACCTTATATTCACCTAACTGATTTTCTCATCAATTCGTCGACACATTCTTTTGTGACTTTTAAAGGTCATAGATTTATTGTTAGGTAACAGAATTTCAAATTTAAAGGATGGTGGCAATTCATATCGGCCATCGGAAAGAAAATTTAATATCTCTTTGAATTGCTTAACTGTGTTGGTGTGAGCAAGTTCTAGTTTAACATCTTCGGTTGGGTCTGTTATGTCAATGGCATCTAAATTCCAGAGTTCGGTTACACAAGATTAGAGGAATGCAACGACACTATATTGTTGAACAAATTATTTTCCAGTAATGCTAGAATAGTAGCTGAAGTAGATTTTTCAGATAAGCTGTTTACTTTACCAATCACAGTGTATCCGAATTCAGTCGCCACTACAGACACACCCGAGTGCAGTTTCAGAGAGCTGCCAGCAATAATGTCCCCGATGGCATCTGCTCCTAAAAGTAATTCAATGTTATATTCCTTAGCTTGCAAATCAGACAAGGTGATATTTCTACCTTTTAATTTAGGGTATTGTGATCAACTATTTTTGGAACAGATTCGCATATTTTGTTATGAGTAAGTACTTCAAAGTTATGTTCATACGTTCCCTCAAAATTTCTTAAATTAACATCAAACACTAAATGGCAATTAGGACTTGTCTCTCTCTCCCCAAGAATGGTTTGTTTCTATTTGGGACGCAGTTGCAAAAACGTGATGACCCTTTCTGAAAGATAAGATTATGTGAACTACTGTCGAAAATCGTACGAACTGTAAGTTGTGTACCTTCGAAAACTATTTTTAAATCAAATGTTTGCAAAGACACATTTTTATTAACAGTTGGCTGATTAGACAATGCATTACTTGAAAAAACAGTACTTTCAGTTTCATTTCGCTTTACAGTTTCGCTATTAGAGCACATATTGGTATAGTGAAATTTATACACATGTTAAACATTTTACTTTTTTTCTGAAGGCCTGTGAGCTATGTCCAACTCGTAGGCGGCGAAAATAGACAGGCGTTTGCACCAAAGGCTTTAGTTTATCTTC